GTTGCAAGGAATGTTCTTGCACTAGTATGAGAGATGATATTACAGGATTTCAGATGATGGAATGTCATGACAAAATATGTAACACATTCTGCTCTCGGGTGAGTAACATTTAAATCAGTGCACTACACTGATAGAGTACTGATGGGAATTGAAATGCTTTTAAACCTGTGAGTTTAGAGGAACTAAAAAAAAATAGGAAGTGTAGCAATGAATTATCTTGGAAACGGAACCTAGGAGTGTCCAAGTCTTACTGACTTTATTTTAGGGTTATTGCTTCAGGATCAGATTCTGCTGACAAGAAAATCAGAATTGACCTAATTTTATCTTTTAGGTATTCAACTGCACCCTGACATGTCTATATTTTACTTCACTTGCACAATAAGTGTTCACAATGCCCAAAGTTCGAGATGACTTAATTATAAGTGTAGTTCATTTTTTAAGGAGAATGTTTTAGATCTGTCTATTGTTAAGCTCTGTCAATTATAGCAGTAATAACAGACATGCTGTTGCCTTTGTTATGCTCAGACATCTGCCACATGCCTTAAAATGATGTGATCTATTTTTGAAAGCCCTCAAAATTATGAGTTGCTTTGTTATATTGATATAACTGGTTAATCAGGAAGAGACAAATATTCAATAAACAAATTTGGCAGAGGAATTCTAGAAGAGTCAAAGGAATTGGTTAGAAGCCAGCAATACTTGCCAGTGTCATAGATTATGAAACTTTGGCCCTGACATGGTTGGTGCAAAGAAAAGTTCAAAATGTTTTTCATATTGCCTTTAAATAACCCAATTTATATCCTTAATATTCCACACCTTTAAATAATGTGGAGAATAAGGAATTTAAAAAGCACTGTAAAATTTAACATGATGTCTTAGAGTGATATTTAACATCTTTTGTCCATAATTCATGAGCATTTCCATGTTTTTGCTTCATGTGGTTAGCATGTAAGGGGACAGACAGTGAAGACAGTGGCACTATACAGCTCAGTTATGCATAAAATGCAATAATAGAATAAAATCAGTAATAGAAGTGGCTGCCTAGCCACACAGTGACAACCTATACCCCTTACCCACTGACATCTGGTCAGAAGAATAGTTAAGCTATGAATACTGGAGACCACCACAAATACATCTTGCCTCGTTCTAAAATATTTTTCAGAATATATGTAAATTAATTAAGATTGTTCTTGATGGCAGTGGCCGATTTCATTCAGGTCATATTTGACCTGAAGAAGCTCCTTCCAACTTGATGATCAAGTGTTCACAATCTGTAAGTTCACCAAGGGTTGTGCAGGATCCATGTGAATTGGCAAGGACTGGGACATGTGAGATGCAGAGTATTCTCTGCAAATCTTTTTCTGACCCAGAAAAGGTGATTTAAAAAACTTCTTTTCCTAAGTGCAGAAGCAAAGATGAGCTAGCTAATGCTATGCAAAAGTTCAAGTTGTTTTTAAAATCTTGATTTTGGACTATATGTTTTATCAGCCCAGGAAAATTTGATGAGTTGACCAAGCAGCAGGTGTTCCAGTTGTGAGTTGATATTCAAACTACTTGCTGCTTTCTGTTATTAATTCCATTGCCAGTTTTAAGGCTGTGAAATGTCATTGTTGTCCATATCTTCTGACTTATGTGAAAATAGCTTACAGATTTTTACTTATGAATTAAAAAAAATCTAACCCACAAACAAACAAACATACTCTAAAAATAGCAATAAAAAATGCATAACAACATAATACATAACAATCCATCATTGTGATGAATGAATGGTGCTGCTGTTCTCCTGAGTATGACCAAATTAAATGCAAGTCTGATCTGTTCTTTTAGCACATAAAGAAACACTATAGAAGGAGGTGCTTAGATTAACAGTGAATATAGCCTTCTCATTTGCAAACAAGATGTGGTTTTGCTTTAATATGTATTGTAGTCCTGTCACTTTTTCTACTGTCCCCTATCATTCTCACAAAATATTGATAAAGCAAGTAGGTAATTGCCATAATTATTGCATCTGTCACTAGGAGAAGTGATATCTGTACATTGCTATTCTCCTGGAGCATTTTAGATAAACTTTTCACTTGAGAACTCAAAATACAATGGCTGCTGATAAGTGGTGTCTCCAGGGCTCTGTGCTAGGACCAGTGCTCTTTAACATCTTTAATTTTTTTAAACTAAAAGAGAGTAGATTTTTCACTGAGAAGGTAGAGAGGTGCTGGAACCAACTGCCCAAAGATGTTGGGGTTGCCCCATTGCTGAAGATGTTCAAGGCCAGGTTGGATGCAGCCCTGGACAACATGATTTAGTGCCTGATATAGTAGTTGGCAACTCTGCTCATGGCAAGGGAATTGTTGGAACTAGGTGATGTTTGAGATCCCTTCCAACCCAAGCCAATCTATGATTCTGTGTGGTTCTATGAACGTTTGTACCCTATCTGCAAAGACATAGTGAATGATGGTTGTAATAGACTATGAAATTGTTGGCTTTAATGTCCAATATTTCAAGATGATATTTACCTTTGAAGGAGCATACTTTGACTTCTACATGTAAAACACGGAAGTAAATTGCTTAATAGTGTGTATATTAAGGAGGTCAAATAAACTAATTTCAAAGGAAGACTGTTGTTTGAGGATTAAAGATATTTAGGATCCTATTTAAAAACTGTGACAGTCTTGGTGGGAAGTATTTTCAAACATACTGCTTGCATTTTCAAGCATAATTTATTATGGAAGTTAGCAGGGGAAACTTTAATGTTCTAGACACTTTTAAATAGAGAATTAAGTTCTCACCTGGTGAAAAGGATCTTATCTCCAGGGAAATCTCTAGAATTGTGCTGATTCATCACCACTGAAGATTTTGCATTCAGCATTTAAAGTTCATTTGTATCTATCCTATTATGTCTTTTGCTCTTTTCCTTCTCTTTCGTTCCTCTGGTTCTCTCTAGGGACTCTCATCTCAAAGTGTAAAAGTGAAATACTGGAGTCTTCGTAAAAATGCTGTGTGTTAAGAAATACTTTCTATCATTTATTTCCTATTTTGTGGTCCAGAAGGCAGCTGACAGAGTTCTGACCAAAACCTTAGTATCCATAAAAAGATTAATTGTGCGTCCTGAGCAACACTGGAATGAAAGCAGAAAACGCCCACATAAGCCAAGTCATAGTTTGTGTAGATCCTTCCTGCAGTTTTGAGTGGGCAATGAGACCACTGTGTGCATTCTCTGACAGCTACAGAATTAATCTGCAAGTCCCAGTTCAAAAGCAGGCAAAATTCCACCGCAATTCCACTCCTCACACAGAATGATGCCTTAATCTCTGCAATTAGATGTGATAAAACAGCCTGATCTAGTGGCAGAGCTGAGCACTTGTCAGGTTCTTTGTAGCAGCTGAGTATTATCACTGATGGGTTGAGTCAGCCAGAGGCATGTGATTCAAATGCTGCCTTGGGAGTTGTTCAGGAACTGGGAGCTGTGACCTCTCATGTTTCTTCCACTGAGGAGTCCTCAGATTTTGAAACCACTGAGCACCAAAGGGGCCACTTCAATAGGCTGAACTGTGTGAAACACAATTCACTGACAGTGTCTTAGTGGTATGCTTAAGTCTGCTGTATGGCATCTTGTTTAATATGCTTTTTAGACTCTGATAATCACACAGGCTTTGTGAAATTTGAATCTTGTAGATGGGTTTTGCTTAGTCAAGATGCTGATTTTCTCTTGGGCAGCTTGTAGATTGTTATACCTCTGAGTTTGCCACACGAACAAAAAATTGTACCCCCATGCTTCAGGTAGTTCACACACATATTTAGCTGTTAAAATGTCATATAAAACAGAATAACAGAATCACAGAATCACAGAATTGTAGGGGTTGGAAGGGACCTCCAGAGATCATGGAGTCCAACCCCCCTGCCAAAGCAGGTTCCCTACAGCAGGTCGCACAGGTAGACATCCAGGCAGGTCTTGAACATCTCCAGAGAAAGAGACTCCACCACCTCCCTGGGCAGCCTGTTCCAGTGCTCTGTCACCTCACTGTAAAGAAGTTCTTGCGCATATTTGTGCGGAACTTCCTATGCTGCAGTTTCCGTCCGTTTCCCCTTGTCCTGTCTCCACTCACCACTGAAAACAGTCTGGCCTCACCATTCTGCCCCCCACACCTTAGATATTTATAGACCTGGATCAGGTCCCCTCTCAGTCTTCTTTTCTCAAGACTGAGCATACCCAGTTCACTCAGCCTTTCTTCATAAGAGAGATGCTCCAGGCCCTTCACCATCTTCGTGGCCCTCCGCTGGACTCTTTCCAAGAGATCCTTGTCTTTTTTGTACTGGGGAGCCCGGAACTGGACGCAGTACTCCAGATGAGGTCTTACCAGGGCAGAGTAGAGAGGGAAGATCACCTCCCGCGACCTGCTGGCCACACTCTTTTTAATCCACCCCAGGATGCCATTGGCCCTCTTGGCCACAAGGGCACACTGCTGGCTCATGGCCAACCTGTCGTCCACCAGGACACCCAGGTCCCTCTCCGCAGAGCTCCCCTCCAGCAGGTCATCCCCCAACCTGTACTGGAATTATTCCTCCCCAGATGCAAGACTCTATACTTGCTTTTGTTAAACCTCTTCTGGTTTTTTTTTGCCCAGCTCTCCAGCCTGTCCAGGTCTCGCTGAATGGCAGCACAGCCTTCAGGCGTGTCAGCCAATCCTCCCAACTTCGTATCATCAGCAAACTTGCTGAGGGTGGCCATTATCCCCTCATCAAGGTCATTGATGAAGATGTTGAACAAGACCGGACCCAGCACCGATCCCTGAGGAACACCGCTAGTTACAGGCCTCCAACCGGACTCTGCACCACCAACAATGACCCTCTGTGCTCTGCCAGTCAGCCAGTTCTCAACCCACCTCACTGTCCACTCATCTATCCCACAATTCCTCAGCTTTGTTATAAGGATGTCGTGGGGGACAGTATCAAATGCCTTGCTGAAATCAAGGTAGATTACATCCACTGCTCTCCCCCCATCCACTCAGCCAGAGACAACATCATAGAAGGCTACCAGGTTGGTCAAGCATGACCTCCCCCTGTTGAACCCATGCTGACTACTCCTGATAACCTCCTCTTCTTCCAGTTGTCTGGAGATGACATCCAGTACAAGCTGTTCCATCACCTTTCCAGGGACGGAGGTGAAGCTGACTGGCCTATAAAATGCTCAACAGCAAAACATTACCCGCAAATCTACTTCAAACTCTGATCCTATTACAGAAGAAAGGTAGTGCTTGGGAATACTTAAGTAATTTCAGCTCAAAGTTGTTGACCACAATTAGAATGATTCTTATTTTCTTTGACATTTTTCCCATGAACTCTATTTTCACTGTAAGAACATTTTCACATCTGTATGGAAATCAGCGTTATTATATTTTGCCCTCTGGAGGCTGTCTAGTTGCTAAATATTAAGTATATTTTTTTCTAATTAGAATAATGTTCTTTGCTTAATTTCACTGGCATATTCTCATCTTTGAATACTTGGCTAGTGGTTCAAGAGATGAAATGGTGCAATGCTCAGTCAGAATTGATACCCAGACTTCATATCTGACCTACCCCTTCCCTCTGCTTCCGCATGTTAAAAACCATCTGAATGCACTCAGACCTCAGACTGAATTCTAACCTTGAAGTCTCAGAGCTGGAGAAGTGTGGGTGTTAATTCATGCCCAAAATGCCACCAGAACAATTCTCATCTTGTATTTTCTTTTGTAAAATATTATTGGTATATTTATATATGTATACAAATAAAGACTTTTAAAACAAATAATTCTCACTTTTTTTTGTATCATTTATGTGTAAAAGCGCATGTTTTCATGTAGTGATTCTCAAACAGATTTTTCTTCTTCCAAACTGGATTATTTGTATTCATATACAGTTTTCTGAGTGGTGAATTTCTTATTTGTAGTATCAGTGTATAGCCTTACAGTTCTGCTTTTAAAATACTTTCCTTAAAATGTTACTAACATCAAGCCTTCAGCTCTGTGTTTTAATTTTTTCTTCTAATTTTCTCTTCTTTGATCAGCCAATGTTTTTCTTTTCTCCCTCAGGGATATAACTATATTGTTCAAGACGGGGAGTGCTGTGGGCGCTGCCAGAAAACTGCCTGTGAAGAGCAACCGTTCTGGTCTCGGGGTGATGCAGATCCTCGTTTATATGAGGTGAGATGATAACTGGGAGGACTTTTCCTCTCCTAAAACAAGTTCCCTGGCATTATTTTGTATTCCACAGAAGGAAACAAAGTCATTTTTCTTGTAAGGTTGGCAATGCTGAAAGCCAGTGGGTACTGAGCTTGTTACTTACTCACTTAATTCCCTTAACAAGCAAACCCTCCCACCATCCCATTTCAGGCTCTAAGGAAGAAATCTTTTTTTTTTTTTTTTTTTAGAAAATTCATAATTTCACAAATGATAGTTAAGAAGAATTTTAATGGAAAAAATTTCTCTGGCTGTAGAAAATCTGTTTATCCTAATAATGGTGGATGGTGGTGTGTACATTGGATATTTAGCTGCCTGAACTCTATGGTTCTGTTCAAATACTATGTCCCATTTTATGTGAGTTGAAATATCAGAATATCAGGAACTGAATGTGGATAGAAATATTAATTGCATCTGTCTATTGAAGGTGAAGGCTGAATGTCAGGTCTGACTGTGGTTGTCTAGGCACATTTCTTTGTTCAAAATAACAGCTTACTTTCAGCAGTGTCTCTTCCTTTAGTATTTATTTGTGTCCTTTCCAAAAAGACCAAAAATGGGAAATAAATACATGCAACTAGCCATTCAGAATATTCTGCAGAAAATCTATCACTCTGGATAACTAGGCCAATATTTTCTCTCTTTTTTCTCTTCATTTATATTTAAATTCCTTCAGTTTATTCAGTTTATTCTGTCCCTAATCCAACTAACTGGCCTTGGCAAACCTTTGCCATCCCTTGTAGCATTAAGTTACTTAATCTTACACAGAAATTTGGATTTGGTGAAGAAAGGCATGAACAGTAATTTAAAAGGTCTGAAAATAAAAGACCTTCTCCCCTTGTTTTTTTTTCCCTCTTATTCATTATAGCATGTTTGCACTTATAGTTACATATCACTTTCATATATTTGGTATTCACTTTTAAATTACCTATTTTACAAAAGCAGTTCACTTCTGTCCTTTTCAAAATGTAAATGTATCATTTTACTGTCTGTTTCTTCCCTAATTTCACCAAAGACATTTCATAATCTGGATCAGTATTATTCTCTGCTTCATAAATCAAGCCCTCAGAAGACCTTTTTTTTCTATATCCTGCTGTGTATTACTGGGTTCTGTTGTGTTAGTGGAATTACAGATACTTATACTCTGTTATCTTGTTCTTGCTGTGTACTCTTTCATCTCCTCTGTTGTCAGCAAGGAATGAACTGTCTAACAAACAGAAGGAAGAATATTCAGGAACTTTCTGAGCAGTGATGCTTGACTACTTGGAGGGGTCTGATTCTCACAGAATGGCTTGACTTGAAAGTGATCTTAAAGGTCACCTACTTCCAACCTCTCACATCACTTTTCTTGAAGTGAAATTAAAAGTGGAAGCATGCTGCCTCAAAGCAGTAATCAACTCTGCATGGCACTGAACTAGGGAGCATTTTCTTTCTGGCCTGCGTTGATATCTCTTCCCATTTACCTGCTTTATCTAACTCATGGATGACAATAACCAGCAGGAGACATCAACAAGATATAGTCTCTCCTATATTTGCAAGCTTTTTCTTATTTGTCTTTCTTTATTGTCTTTATTGTTCTTTCTTTATTGTCAAAGCCTGTTTTGGACCTTAGTGAAGCTGGTTTGCAGTAGGTTCCAGTGGAAAGATGGCCAGCTTGGCTGCTGAGTAGTGCAACACAACCAGCTACCAGGAATAAATGTAAACTTAAATCTATGTAAACACGCATTTTCTTCTTTGAACGTTATTTCACCTGCCTCTTTCATTTCCTTACCTTAAAAACCAAGCAGAAAACTATTTTGTAAACATATCGTCACAGTATGGGCTTGCGAAGAGCCCATAGTGACAGTTATATATATATATATATATATATGGGAGATATGTCCCAGTTATATAGACAGAGTGACAGGTTGTTCCCAAAGCAGTGGATGTATATTCTGCAAACTAATGCTTTGACTAGGGTGCCCTTCACTTTGTTTAGTGACACAAAAACTGCTGCCTGTATTTAATCCTTTTACACTTTCCTGTCAGGTTGGTACGGAGTGGCAATCCCCCTTCAATAGATGCATAATTAATGAGTGCGTCCGAGTGAATGATGAGGTTTTTGTGCAGCAAAAGAATCTGTCCTGCTCTCATATGGATGTACCTGACTGTCCAGATGGAACTCAATTACGCTGTGACGAAGTAATAGACTGCTGTCCTTTGTGCAGATGTGGTAAGGAATTATGTATGACGAATGACAAATGAAATTAGTAAAGAGTTAATCATCTCATGTGCCAATCTCCTGTTTTACAGTGGCAATTTCAAAAGTATATCCTATGCAAGTGTAATATCACTTTCAAGCTATCCTGCATAATTTAAACATTGACTATAGTAGCTCCTGCTGCTATTATTTTCTCTTTCTAAACAATGTTCTCAGTTTCCTTTTGAATTACTATTGTCACTACTTAGAGAGACATGCCAGGCTATGTCTGAACAGCAAGTTACAGCACTAGCTTGTGTTGTTAAGCAGTTATTACAAGGTCTTGACATGCTTTTGACCTAGAAAGGTGCAATGCTGTTACCAACATCAGTGCTGTGTACTCCTTACAAACAGGGAGTTTTCATGTCATTATGCCTTCTGAACATCTGAGTGTTATAGTGGTGGCCATTTACTAGCATATACTTACAGCAAAAATAGATATAAAAAAGATTTGGCTGTTTGGACGCAGTCTGGGTAGACTCTCAGTCACATATAATTTACAGGTATTTGGGACAACCTCATGGGAAGGAACTTCAGTGGAAGAAGGAAGAGAAGTGTTGTAACTTTCTGAAAACTTTTGAGTGTGTTTTCTGAGAATGTGAGGATAGAAACAGAGGGGGAAATCTACATAATAAATAAATTTAAGAAAAGGTTAGGGAAAGAAATAACAAGCAGTTCAACAAGGGATATTTGGAGGCAAGGGATGTTTGGATGTGGATATCGGTATAACTGACAAATTATTACTTTTCAAATTATAATGTAAGAATGTAAAATTGTACTTATTTTCGCTGAACCTGGATTTAGATATCCTCAGTTGGAACTTTAATGAATAAAGGATATATACTTCTGCTTTATTAAGTCCAAGTAACAGCACATTAAATGCAATGTTATCATCTCTTTCAGTACCCATGAATGGTTGTCCTTTGAATGGCACTCTTATTGGGGTAAGATAAGCTTCTTTTTATTTGCTTTAGTGATAAGACACTTAGCTCATTTGAATGGGCTTTTGAAGAAAACAGGCTTGCTCAAATACACATAAGTGTACAGGGCAGCTTTTCTCAGAATCCCTACCAGTGAGGCAAAGCAATCATTGGAGTTCCACATGTGCACAATGTTGCCACAAACTTTCTTGTATGACAAATGAGCATCTCTGCAAAATAGGGAAAGTCATGTGATCTTATCTTGAAAGGATGTTCAGAAAATACATGCTTAGAAACTGTGCTAATTTGCATTGTGTAATGACTTACAGGCTACCAGACACACAGGAAATTGCCTGTGATGGATAATCTCTAAGGTGGTTCTTACCAATCTCAGGGAAGGGAATGCTTCTTGTATTCTACCAAGAGAATGAGAAAGATTAAGAAAGGGTAGAGATTCTTGTTCCACCTGTGTGGAAGGAGGACTCTCACTCCTTAGTAGCAGGAATAGGAAAGCTAAGCTCCTGCTTGCCTTCTGTGCCATTTTAAAATCTCTGCTGATCTCAGCTCAGAGAAAGTTTTTGTCTCAAGTGCATATTAGTGGATAGATAAAGATGTGTTTTACCCAGTCCATGACAGTGGGAAGGATTGTAGTTAAACGTCTGATCTCATGTTGAATCTTTGGAGAGCTCTGTCAATAGGCCATTATTCCCCTAAATCCATGTTCTGGCATCACCTCTGGTGTCAGACAGCTCTCTCAACATCCTCGGGGGAAACAGGTGCTCTTTATTCATTTAACCTAAATTTTAACCTATACATTCCTTTTTTTCATTTATTGATAAAGTATATTGATAAAGTATATTGATAAAGTCCAAATCTCTTTGGACTCTCAAAGAGCAAAACTCTTTGCTTTTTTGAGCAGAGAGCACCTCTCTCCATCTATTGCTTCCATTTTGGATTTTTTTTAATATTTAGTAGGTATAAGTTCTTCATTTTGTTAGAGCTTAAGCCATTAAACCTCCATCATTCTGTATAGATAACTTCCCTGTAGAATTAAATTCAAGGAATAACTATGCCTTTCTACCTGAATGCTGGAAGAAGGGCTTTAAAGTGGTTAAATCTTATTAGACTGCTTTCTCTTTGATTCCTCTATTTGTCTCCTCTACAGTATGTTGAGAGACAAAGCCTTTCATAAAAAACTTTCTTGTAAAGAGTACAATTCAGTAGAATTCAGTAAAATTGTCAGCTCCTGACATCTGTTGTCATAGATTGTGTGGATATATATTTATAAATAAAATTCTGTTCCGCAAAAAGAAGGTATCTTTCCAATTGCATGCTGTTATTTGATGAACAGATAATTTTTTCTCTTCCAACAAAATGTTGACTGGATTTGTCAGAGTCCTTATTCTGTTTTCAA